TCAGAGGTGATGGATTCTGCAAACCGAGGTCAGGGCCGCTGCAGAAGGTTAGGAACTCCAGGGAAAAGGCTGGCAGTGAGGAAGAGGAGGAGGGGCTCAAAGAGGGAAGCTCTGGTGGCCAAGACATCCTGCGGGCCTGAGAGGCTGGGGGCTTGAGGGATGCCTCGGAAGTGAGTCAGGGGCTGGGCACTGGGAGGCAGACAGAGGGTTGGAGGGGGCAGGATGTCAGCACCAGTTTGCAGAGGCGGGTGTTGGAGCCAGGAAGGGGAAAGACGTCGGAGCCAGTTTTGGGAAAACGTTGCAGCCAGGTTTGGGGATGCTGGATCCAGATTGGGGGCGATATTGAAGCCAGGTGGGGGAAAGTCAGACGTCGTCTGGGCAAGGTTGACTTCAATTGGAGGGAAATTCAAGCCTGAAATTTTGAGAGGAAGAAGGAGACAGCTATGGGGTGGAGGGGGGATGATGGAGCCATTTTGGGATGAGGCATGTGGATGCTAGTTCAGAGGATGAAAGAGAAATCAAGGATGGCTGTGGTGGCTCATGACTGTAATCCCAGCACTTTGGGAGGCTGAGGCAGGTGGATCGCTTGAGCTCAGGAGTTGGAGACCGGCCTAGGCAACAGGACGAAACCTCATCTCTACTAAAAATACAAAAATTAGCCAGGTGTGGTGACTCGTACTTGTAGTCCCAGCTACTCGGGGGGTTGAGGTGGGAGGATTGCTTGAGCCTGGGATGCAGAGGTTGCAGTGAGCCGAGACCATGCCACTGCGCTCCAACCTGGGTGACAGAGTGAGACTGTCTAAAATATAAAAGAGAAGGTCAGAGTGCAGTGGCTCACGCCTGTAATCCCAGCACTTCGGGAGGCTGAAGTGGGTGGATCACAAGGTCAAGAGTTTGAGACCAGCCTGGCCAATATGGTGAAACCTTGTCTCTACTAAAAATACAAAAATTAGCCAGGAGTGGTGGTGGGCACCTGTAATCCCAGCTACTTGGGAGCCTGAGGCAGGAGAAATCGCTTGAACCCAAGAGGTGGAGGTTGCAGTGAGCTGAAATCGTGCCATTGCACTCTAGCCTGGGTGACAGAGTGAGACTCCATCTCAAAAAAATAAAATAAAATAAAAGAGAAATGAGCATGCAAATAATGTGTGTGCATGGGGGGTATCTATTGCACATCCCTGGGGACTCCAGGCAAGGGGTTGTCATGGTGACTGCCTCCTGGAGGGTGGGGGCCCATGGAGACTGGAAGGAGGTCCGAGAGCATTTCTAGGAACCGGAGGGTTGAGAAGCAGCAGCTCAGGGGTTGAAATGGGGGAGGAAAGAAGGGGCCTCTCCATCATGGAAAGGGGTGCTCTTACCCACAGCCTAGGCAACCCAGGCCTTTTGCACACCACCCTCTTTCCAGGCCTCCTGTCCACCCCCACACGTCTGCATAATCCTGACCGTGTCCCGACCTGCTCAGAACCCTGTCCTGGTGACAAACAAACTACAGGTCCAGCAATAGGAGAACGAGTGAACATCTGACCCTTTACGCAATTCATACAGTGGAATATTACATAGCACTTAAATGAACTGGAGCTGTATAGCTAGACATGGATAAATCTCACAAGTTCATAATGTGGGCAAAAAAATAAATTTTAAAGCAAGTTGCAAGATACAAATAGTATGATACCATTTATAGAGAGTCTGAAACCGTGTAAAACAGTATATTATTTCTGGATACAAGTCTATGGAGCATGGGATAAAAATCTACTTGGATGAATAGACAGTACGTTCATTCTGGATGCTGGGTTCCTTAAGAGAAGACTAGAGCGAGTGGGACCAGGAGAGGTGGCGGGAGGAGGCTGCACGCATTTGTAATTCATTCTTTTTTTTTTTTTTTTCTTGAGATGGAGTTTTGCTCTGTTGCCCAGGCTGGCGTGCAGTGGCACAGTCTGGGCTCATTGCAGCCTCTGCCTCCCAGGTTCAAGCAATTCTCCTGCCTCAGCCTCCCAAGTAACTGGGACTACAGGCACCTGCCACCACACCCAGCTAATTTTTATGTTTTTAGTAGAGACAGGGTTTCACCATGTTGACCAGACTTGCCTTGAACTCCTGACCTCAGGTGATCCACCCGCCTCAGCCTCCCAAAGTACTGGGATTACAGGCGTGAGCCACCGCACCTGGCTTATTCTTTAAAACAAAAATCGGGCCAGTTTGCAGTGGCTCACACCTATAATTCCAGCACTCTGGGAGGCGAAGGAGGGAGGATTGTTTGAGACCAGGAGCAGGAGTTCCAGACCAGCATGCACAATATAGCAAGACCTCATCTATAACAAAAAATTAAAAAATAAAATTAGCAGGGTGTCCCCGTTGCTTGGGAGGCTGAGGTGGGAGGATCGCTTGAGCCCAGGAGTTCGAGGCTGCAGTGAGCCATGATCATGCCACGGCACTCCAGCCTGGGCAACAGAGTGAGACCCTGTCTCTAAAGACAAAAGCAACAACAAAAACCTGAACCAAGAGAACAAATGATCGTGTGAGCTGTGGCTAGGATGGTAGGCCCAGAGGTGTTTATTAAGCTTGTCTTCTGTACTCTTCTGAATGTTTGAACTATTTCATCGTTTTAAAAAGCACCCATCTGTGGCTCTACAGGGCTCTTGGAAGAAAGTCTGTCCCTTATCAAGGAATTTAAAGCCTTGTATGGCCTGCTCCCTAGTGACCTCTTCCAGCTTGACTCACCCTCCTCCTCTCCACCCAAGGAATGAACTGTCTTGCCTCTTTCCTTCCTTCATTTCCTGTTTAGCACCCATTCCCTGAGTGTCTGCCCTGTGCTGGGAGCTGGGGACACAGTGGTGACTGAGACAGCCCCAGCCCTGTCCTCCTGGGGTTTGCAGTCCAGTGAGGGACACAGATCTGTCCCCAGACAGGGACGACCCAGAGCAGGCAGGGGTGAGGTGTGGGAACCCAGGGGCTGTGGGAGCCTGAGGGTCAGGGAGGGTTTCCTGGAGGAGGGGGCATGGGGCTGAGTCCTGAAGTGTGAGTCCTGAAGTCCTGACTGGAGCATGGAGAAGAGGTGTCTACGTAGAAGCACCAGCAGATGCTGAAACCTGGAGGGTCCTGGGGTAAGGAGGAGGCTACGGGACAGCGCTAGTGAGGTATGCAGCTGCCAGAGCATGAAGACTGTGGTGACAGGCCTCAGCTTTGTCCCGAAGTCACTAGGGAGCCATGGAAGGCTTAAGAGATGGAGAAGAGCAGGTCTGTGCTTTTTCTTTTTCTTTTTTCTTTTTTTTTTTGAGACAGAGTCTCGCTCTGTCGCCCAGGCTGGAGTGCAGTGGCCCGATCTCAGCTCACTGCAACCTCCACCGCCCCGGTTCAAGCAATTCTCCTGCCTCAGCCTCCCGAGTAGCTGGGACTACAGGCGCCCGCCACCTCGCCCGGCTAGTTTTTTGTATCTTTTAGTAGAGACGGGGTTTCACCGTGTTAGCCAGGATGGTCTCGATCTCCTGACCTCGTGATCCGCCCGTCTCGGCCTCCCAAAGTGCTGGGATTACAGGCTTGAGCCACCGCGCCCGGCCAGGTCTATGCTTTTTCAAGGTCCTGAAAGGTGCACTGGAGGTGCTAAGACTAGAGGCTGGGGACCAGGGAGGAGGCCAGGGCAGGGAAGTGGGTAAGGGTTCCGCTTGGGGTAGGGGCTATGGGAAGGGAGTGAAAGGAGGGAGCGCAGACTGAAGAGAGGCTTAGGAGATGGAATGGGCAGGACTCAGGAAGCTGTGAAGGCAGGGACTGGGGCTGCCCTGGCCACCGCTGTGTCCCTAACACCTGCACAGGGCTGGGCCCATGGCAAATACCTAGTAAATTTTTTTGTTTTGTTGTTTTGTTTTTTGAGACTGAGTTTTGCTCTATCTCCCAGGCTGGAATGCGGTGGCATGATCTCAGCTCACCGCAACCTCCACCTCCTGGGTTCAAGCAATTCTCCTGCCTCAGCTTCCTGAGTAGCTGGGATTACAGGCGCCTGCCACGACGCCTGGCTTTTTTTTTTTTTGAGACGGAGTCTTGCTCTGTGCCCCAGGCTGGAGTGCAGTGGTGCAATCTCGGCTCACTGCAAGCTCCGTCCCCCCGGGTTCACGCCATTCTCCTGCCTCAGCCTCCTGAGTAGCTGGGACTACAGGCGCCCGCCACCTCGCCCGGCTAGTTTTTTGTATCTTTTAGTAGAGACGGGGTTTCACCGTGTTAGCCAGGATGGTCTCGATCTCCTGACCTCGTGATCCGCCCGTCTCGGCCTCCCAAAGTGCTGGGATTACAGGCTTGAGCCACCACGCCCGGCCTTTTTTTTGTATTTTTAATAGAGACAGGGTTTCGCCATGCTGGCCAAGCTGGTCTCGAACTCCTGACCTCAGGTGATCCGCCCACCTCCGCCTCCCAAAGAGCTGGGATTACAGGCACGGGAGCCACCACACCTGCCCTCAAGCCATTTAAAAGCACACAATTAAGTGCATTTAATGCATTCACAATGTTGTCCAACCATCCCCTTTATCTAGTTCCAGAGTGTCTTCCTTTCCCCAAAAGGAAACCCTGCATCCATTAGCAGTCACTTCCCATTCCCCGATTCTCTCCAGTCCTATAGGTAATTGTCAGTCTCCTTTCTGTCTCCAAGGATTTGCCTAGAGACCTGCGAGGTGACTCACACCTGTAATCCCAGCACTTTGGGAGGCAGAGGCGGACAGATCCCTTGAGGCCAGGAGTTTGAGACCAGCCTGGGCAACATAGCAAGACCCTGTCTCAATAATAAATAAATAAATAAATAAATAAAGTTGGGCATGGTGGTGCACACCTGTAGTCCCAGCTGCTGAGGAGGCTGAGGTATGAGGATTGTTTGAGCCCAGGAGTTTCAGACTGCAGTGAGCTATGATGGGGCCATTGCACTCCAGCCCTGGGTGACAGGGTGAGACCCAGTCTCAAAAAAAAAAAAAAAAATTTAGGCTTTGCCTATTCTAGACATTTCCCAATAAGTTTTTGCCGAAGACATGAATGAGGGAGAGATGACAAGGGTACTAATCAAATGGGAGAGATGAAGGGGATGAGGGGGTGTAGGCACGTGCTCAGGAGTCTGTCCTGGATGTCTGGATGGATGGTGGGGCCTGGGTCCCCATACCGTCTCTGTCCTTGGCTGACTGTGTCATCTTGGGAGGGAGCCTTCCCCTCTCTGAGCCTGTTTCTCCACGGAGTAGAGGATCAACAGGATCAACTTAAGACAGAGAATATTCCAGGCCAGGAGCGGTGGCTCACGCTTGTAATCCCTGCACTTTGGGAGGCTGAAGTAGGTGGATCACCTGATGTCAGGAGTTCAAGACCAGTCTGGTCAACATGGTGAAACCACATATCTACTAAAAATATAAAACTTAGCCTAGTGTGGTGGCACGTGCCTATAGTCCCAGCTACTCAGGCTGAGGCAGGAAAATTGTTTGAACCTGGGAGGCAGAGGTTGCAGTGAGCCGAGATTGTGCCACTGCACTCCAGCCTGGGTGACAAAGTGAGTGAGTGAGACTCCATCTCAAAAAAAAGGGAGAATATTCCAGACATGAACATTGTTCCTTAGTGACAGGGCAGGAGTAGGGTGAGGAAAGGTTCTAATGTGGATATGCAGGGAGAGCACCCAGGCACTGGAATCAGACGGTCTGAGTGCAAATCCTGACTTTGTTCTTGAATCATCGTGGGACCTTAGGCAGGTGCCTTTGCCCTTCTGAGCCTCCATTTCCTCATCAAAATGAAGATAATGAAAATCCCCACCATGGCCGGGCATGGTGGCTCATGTCTGTAATCTCAGGACTTTGGGAGGCTGAGGCAGGCGGATCACCTGAGTCCAGGAGTTTGAGTCCAGCCTAGGCAACATGGCAAGATCTCCATCTCTACTAAAAATATGAAAAATTAGCCAGACGTACTGTCATGCGCCTGTAATCCCAGCTCCTCAGGAGGCTGAGGTGGGAGGATTACTTAAGCCCAGGAAGTGAAGGCTGCAGTGAGCTGCACTCCAGCCTGGGCGACAGAGTAAGACTCTGTCTCAAGAAATAAAAACAACCAAAAAAGTCCCCACCTTGGGCTCCTGTATGTAATCCAGTCTACTTGGAGCTGACGGCAAGAACTGGGTGAAACCTGGTTGTAGGCGTGAGCTTTTCAGTGAGCCGAGATGCGCCACTGCCCTCCAGTCTGCTGGGCGAGTTAGAGTGAGACTCCGTGGCTCAAGGAAGAGAGTAGGAGCAAAACTAAAAAAAAATTGAAAAAGTCCCCTACTCGCCTTTATATGCTGCGTGTCAGCGTTATCCAGGGGGTTATTAGAGTGCTCAGCAAGGTGTCTGTACTATCTTTCACCCCAAAGGTGCTTCCGTACACAGAGGCACGTTGTATCCACACCACTCCCCCATGGTGTTCGCAGTGGCAGCAGCGCAGATGTGGTCATTATTTTTTTCCCCATGTGGTCCTCACCTGTCAAAGATGCCTATCGCTGAAGGGAAAAAAGTTGTCTCACCTCTGTCGGAAACCTTGGAGGCATTGAGCTCACGTGAGCTCCAGACGATTTTTAATAGATAAACTCTGCTCTGGCAGGTGGGAAAGAAAAAAAAAGAGTGGGCACAGAATGGTTTATACCAATTCTGTGGGGGCTTGATTGTGGTGGCGTGAGGTGATCTGGTAAGGAGAGGGCACTCAGTGGGGACCAGGACTCGCTGTGATCTACTTGACGGGTGGAGCAGATCCAAAGTTGTGGCCCTAGAAGAGGAAGGCCTCAGTTGCTGGTAGATTCATTCAGTAATTGACACGTTGCCAGTAGACTCAGGGTTAATAAACGTCAAGATGGAAAACATCCATGCCAATATTTCACCAACATTTATGGGAATTGTACACTAAACAGTAGACGGTAGCACCACAGGACACATTATACCACACTTATGTACAATTGTTTCATGCTGGCGGAAAGCATGT